ATGCTCTACGCGACAAAAAGGTGTGGTAACCTCGCAACGTTCTGTTTTTCAGAGGGTGTGTGCGTGTGTGTGTAGAGGAGCTACAGTTACACTTGCATTTACATTTACAGTTTACAGTTTACAGTTTACGGTTTACAGTTACAGTTACACTTGCATTCACAATTTCAAAAGCCCCCAGCTAAAATGGCATAAATAACAAAATTGTTTGGCTATTCAGCAGCAGCTTGAAAACAAAACTCCAAAAACAAAAGCAACAAAAATAAAAGCAAATTAGATGAAGAAAATTTGTTTCCGATCAGCGAAGTTTTTATACCCTTGACGTCCAGGGTACATCCATAATCTGTCAAGAAAAGAACACGCACTGTTTTGTGGTTTTATTTTGATATATCAGCCTCGGATGGGACTTTTTTTCAAAAAAATTTTAGCGAGCTCGCATGCAATTGCGCATGTATGTATGTATGTGATCTTTGAAATTGTTTTCGATCATTAACTTAAGATAACTTTCTGTCTACTCCCAATTTATTGAAGACTTATTATTTTAGTGCAAAGAAAGGTCCTTTGGCAATAATATAGATGCATATTCTACTGACTATTCTGAGCGATAATTAGCGAAAAGTTGGCGTTTGTAGCGGTAATACAAAATTGTGCTGATTTTTATTTATACACTGAAATCATTGAAGAAGTAGTGCATATTATTTTCCCACTAATCTCCTAATCTCCTACTAGCTATTCTACCTATCTGAGAGGTCTTTGCACTTTCTTTGGTTTCCATCAATTCATTAATATATACTGTAGTTAGCAGGAGCAGAAGGCAGGCGGCTTGAAATTAAGCTACTATAAGCTTCTATAACCCTTCTAAATAAATTCAGGCAGTTTTTGGCGTTGAGCAGCTAATCCAACAATGAAGTCAGCTGATAATAATAATAATAATACTTATTTCACATTTATTTAAAACACTGTCCCACCACTTTGTACTGCTTACCACAGGTGTTTATTGCGTATTGTTCAGAAGAACTTTGAGAAGAAAAATCTTAATCACGGATTGCAGATTTGGTCGTCTTTAAAAAGATGACGAGCTGGATTCAACAGCTGACTCTGATTACATTCTAAATGGATTTCTTTACTATCCATCTTGAACAAAATGAAGATACGAAGATATGGTTACAGGGGAGCTGAGGGTGTATTCCAGTATTCCGTATTCCAGTTTATGTATTGTATGTATGTATATTCAATCCTTGCCTGTGAAAAGTGTACATTTTTGGAACTTATACCGGATAACAGGACGTTGAACCATAGTGCGGGGTAAGAAAAGATTTTTTTTTCATTCAATTTTGGCGCTTGCCATGTTGCTTGAAAAAGTATTCAATGTTTTGGTGACACTTCACTTTTTGGACGTAGATTTAGAATTGTAATCGCAATCAAATCGGGGCGTTCTTTTGGCGTTTTTTGGTTTTGCGCAAAACCAAAATTTATGGCTAGCCACTTACCCAGCAACAAGGTCAGAACACTTCGAATTGGCGGCTGCGACTGTTGGTTGCGACTGGTGCTGCTCCAGCATGGGACCCAGGAGTAGAGCCAACAGGTCGAAGAAGCAGGAGCCGGTAGCCCATGAGTCAGCGACGGCAACTGGGGTTTGACTTTGATTTGTTGCACCTTTGTGCCAATATAAATCAGCGACCAATTGCACGGTCCCAAGGCCGCTAAACCACAACAAAACTTTATACAACTGAAAATGGCACTGGTACTTGGTACTTGGTACTTGGACCTAACCCTAACCATGACAACCATGCCAACCAACCGAACAACCGCAACAAAGGTCAAGTCAAGTGAAATTTAAGCCTCTTGGCTTAAGGGACAAAAATGAGAAAGCAAGCTGAAGAAGAAAACCGAATAGCAAATAAAATTATGTCAAAATTTGAATTAGCAGCTGGGAAAAAGAGCAGACAAGACAATGGCGGTGCATAAATTAATTTTCCTATCAGCTTGCAGCTGCGGAAAAGTGCACCCAACATCTACAGGGGTTTCACTTTCGTGTTTTCCATGTGGTGACGGTGGTATAAGTAGGTGGTGGTGGCTCAGTTTCATGCTGAGAGACGAAATGTTGCGGCCGTGAATTGAAGTGGCGAGAATTGTTTCTGTCAAAGAGATAAGGCAGTGACAGAAGCTGTGCACAACCGTACAACAAATGATTTTCCTTTTTCTGCGGTTTTGCCCTTCGCGTGCGGTGAAAATGCTTTCTCGTCAGGCGAGAGCGCTCCGAAGAATGGGAAAATGTCAAATGATAAAATATGCAACCGTTAAAATTGGTTTTTATTATCATAACACATTTTCCGAATGTGTGCCATGTGCCATGCGTACAAAATAGTTGGATGGATTTCATTTTGAAATACCGCCAACCAAGTTATCGATATAATACTTATTGAAAAGTATCGAACCGTAGGCAACTACTGTATTGTATATCTTCATATACTTATGTAACTAGTTTGTATATTTTTATAAGTAAAGTTTGCTTAGTCTAACTTTGCCCAAAATATGTAAGCAGCCTCTTCTGTACATATACTCAGTTTTCTATTTCTATAGCAACTTAATAATTTTCAGGTTTTTCATTTCGAATCTCCCGCCAACTCTCTATGGTGAAGAGAGGCCGCAGAAGTGCGATAGAAAATATCGATATGTGAGCAGCTGTTTCACTCGAATTTTTTGTTGATACTAAAAAATAAAAAAAAAACACAAAAATCAATGTGTTTAAATGAAGGTATATTTATGGTATATTTTGAAAATGAGACCGTACATTTTGGTATATCCGTCCGTCCGTATGCGTATCCAGATATCTGTGATATGTCACTGTTACAAGTGTATTTCAAAACTTCGCCACGCCCCTTTGCCCACCCACAAAGGACGAAAATCTGTGGCATACCCAATTTGAAAGATATAAGAAAACCAAAAGTGCAGAATCGCAGAAAACAAATATTTTTTCTAGACTGTAGAATCTGAACTAGATCGTATCATTAATATAGCCAGAATGATGAAAACAATTTTATTCTCTCTCGCTCTGTCCTTCTCTAACACACACGTTTCATGGTCGGCTTTGCCTATCGCAAAATGTGAGCGCCTAGATCTCAGAGACTATAAGAGCTAGAGCAACCAAATTTAGTATCTACACTCCTATGGTATCGAACCTGTACAAGTGTATTTCAAAACTTCGCCCCAGCTCCTTCCGCCCTCACAAAGAACGAAAATCTGTGGCATCCACAATTTTAAAGATACGGGAAAATTAAAATCATAAAGAATGACCAGATTGCCGAATCTTGATCAGATCGAATTATTATTATAGCCAAAAGTAACATATCAATTTTCGGTCGCTACGCAGCGCCCGACGACACGTTCAGGCTGATTTTCTGTCTCTCTCGCATTCACTTTTTGTCGCTCAATGTTACGCGGTGTCTGCCGGAGAAGAACCATATTGACTAAGTATCAGGCATAAATGTAGAGTTGCGGTCGCAGCAGCAACTCATTATTTATTATGATTATATTATTGCAACTTGCAAGTCACACAGTCGGAAAATCATTTACAGATCGGTGTAGTGCATAATAATTCACTTTTACAATGAACAATGAGACGGCGCCATTATATTATAGTGCGGAGACAGTCCGACGTCTCCTCACCTGGCCGCTTGTCAACGAAGCAGTAGAGTCAGCATTGAAGGCAGTTGTGTCTTCACAGAACCGTCCTCCTAATGCGGCCTATGTGAACCAGCCAAAGAGGAGCATCACCGCGTGCAAGGATCCGGGCCAATTCTTGTTCACGATGCCCGCCTTTGTGGGCAACTTCACGCTGCCCTCGGATTGCTATGTTGGGGATGCGGCCAACGTTACACGCTCGACATTGGCCTGCAAGGTGGTTTCATCGTTCAGTTCTAATCCTCAACAAGAACCGCCGCTGCCCAGCATAAATGCAAACATCTTACTCTTCAGCATTCAGACTGGAGAGCTGACTGCTATTATGGCTGGCACAGATGTAACTACCTGGCGCACAGTGGCTGCCTCAATAGTGGCAACCAAGTACCTCTATTTTCGTCGTTTTGGCCCTAGCGCCGAGCACGAGCGGGAGATAACGGTTGCTATAATTGGTTGCGGAGTACAGGGAAAAATGCACGCATCGGCATTTTGTTCCATGTTCAAAGTGAAGCAATTGAATCTATTTAATCGCAGCACTGCCAGGGCCTTTGAGCTAGCCGAGCAGATGAAGCAGGAGCTGGGATGCGCGGGACAGACAAAAATAAGTGTATGCAGCAATCCAGAACAGGCTGTGAAAAGCGCCGATGTCATTTGCATTGCCACTTACTCGACGGAGCCGCTGATCTTCGCATCAGATCTGCGCGAAGAGGGATCTGTCCACATTAATGGTTTGTCCAGCATTTCAAGCACTGACTTCCTTTCGTTTATAGCGCATTTGCTTTGCCTTTTTTCCATGCAGCTGTGGGCGCAGGCGAAATCCACTACTCGGAGGTGGCGACAAATATATACGAACGTGCCCAGGTCTATGTAGATTGCTTTGCCAATGCCGAAAGCGAGTTGATTGGCCTTCCCGCGCCTATTACCGCCGAGTTGGGATCAGTCATCAACAGTGGGCATTATCCCGAAGCGTCAGACATCACCATTTTCCAGTCCATGGGTTCGTAAGAAGTGAAGTCCGTAGTGTTCATAATATATCCGTACAGCTCTGAACTCTGTTTTCAGGAATGGCTTCTGAGGATGCTTGTGTGGCGCAGGCCTTGCAGGACGCTTCTCTGTCCGGCGTCAAGTAATACAGCCCGTTGTCTTTTTACAGCCCCAAACGATTGTGATAAATAGCTAGACATGTGCCCTATTTAGAAATGACGGAGCTGAAATGTTTATGTTGAGGCATTTATGGCAAATAATAAATATTTCATGTATATAAAAATCAATTGGAAACGTAACAATCTGTGTTTACAAACTACGCAATGCATTTAGCTTAGCATCAGCATTAAAGTTTACTTCCAAATCACAGTCACATTTGTGTCTTTCTCAATATCCCGCTCAATGGTGCAGGGTGAAAGGCCCGTCTTGCAGCAGATCTCGTCGAAGCTGATGAGGCCCGTGTACATCTTCTGGCGTCCGGATGGCACCGATCCCGTGAACACCGGATACTTGTGGATGCATCGGATGAACTTGTGCTGCAGCCCAAAGATGACCATCTTACGCTCATCGATGTTGTGATGCTGGGGACACAAGCGCTGGCAAATGGCTCTCAATGTCACGCCGTGCGTCATCGAAGCATAGAACTGGAAGATGCGCTGTACGCTGGGCAGAGTTTTGTCGGGTTTGAGCGCCACGTACTTGCGACAAGCGTTGCTCAGCGATGCACTCTGGATTAGGTGTTTTAGGTTCTGGGTCATGTACACGTTGCTGTATTTGAGGATGGGCAGCAGTTGAACCACACCGTAGTAGACCAGATTCTGTATGCATGATTTGACCAAATCCGTTTCCACGTCCGCCTCGGCGGCGATGCGCGCTACATGATTGATTCCATTGATATAGGGCAATATCTGGATAAGAGGGAGATGGAGGTATAAGTGAAGAACTTTAAAAATGTGTCAAAATTATATTTCATTGGCTAACCTGCTGCGTGGTTAGGTCCCAATTTTCTATCGGCGTGTCACGCAGATTAGCTAGCAACAAAGGCACCATGTGATCCTTGACCGCAGGAGGATCCGGCTTGTGCATCACAATCTTCAGATAAATCGTATTGTCGCCCTCCACAATGGTGGCCACCTTGCGCTCGTTCAGGTCCCTAAGCACGGTCTGGAAGATATTCTGCAATCTCCGCTTGTCGTCCTCGCGCGACAGAAAACACGATTCCTCCTCCATCATGATAAGGTACTCCGATAGCTTCTTCACTACGGGCTCATATTGCACAGACCGGGCCCGCGAATCGCAGACGAAGCACAGGTTGAATAGAAAGGCATTACGGGCGTACTTCTGCTGATCCTGTATGCCCACCGGATAGCCAACAATCTTCACGTCCATGGCGTTCACGGTCAAGATGCAGCGCTGCAAGTGCTGCTTGGGAATGATGTACACGTTGATGGCATCGAAGACATCCTTGGAGATGTAGTTATCAGGCACCTGCGGGGCCAAACAAGGTTTGTACGAAAGCTGGTTGATGAAAGGATTGAACGTACTCACTTGGCAGCTTATCTTGCAGCCAGCTGTGGCATGGAATTCGCTTAGAAATATGCACCGTATTTTGCCCTCTGTGCTACCGGCACTGCTCGTGCCAGCAGCGTCATTCGTGTGGGAGTGCATTCTTACCGCTGGTTCACCGCTATCTCCACATTTTTGGGCAAAGATTTTGTTGTCCTCTTCTCATTCGACGAGCCGAGAAACATTTATATTAGAATATCTGGTAGCGTAGCCCTGGGTCAGAAGGGAAGGCGTTAGTGCAAACAGATGCTAACCATTATCGATAGTATAGTTTTCAAATCATCAGTGCTGTGTTGTGCTGTGCTGCAAAACGCGTGTTCAGTGGCCAGTGCTGCAAAATATTTCACTGTGCAGAAATTCGTCTCAAATTGGGTATATCGCTATTATTTAGCAAAATTAAGCAAAATGACAAACGAAAACATTAGCGTGAGTACAAATGTCGCCGAACGTCTTAAGGTGGGCATCCGCGAAGGCGTCACCTATCCCATCGTGATGAAGTACTGCGGCCACTGCACCATGCCCATCGAGGTAGGATTCAATACATTTTAGGCCGGAAATTTTATTCATATGTTAGATTCGATGATATTTACAGTATTGCGAATACTATCCGGAATATGAAAAGTGCAAGGAATGGCTGGAGCGTAATATGCCCGATGACTTTGAGCGCCTTAAGATCGAGGAAGAGCAGGCTGCTGCCGACGGCACTGACGATGACAAAAAGCGCCAGAAGCGCGGGGGCAAGGGACTGCTGCGTGTCAAGAAAAAGGAGGATGTCCCCAAGCGCATCTGTGTGTCCCGAGCTGCCCGCGGCAAAAAGAAGTCTGTGACTGTAGTCACCGGCCTCAGTACCTTTGGTCAGTCCTTTCTTGATTCCCTTATTTAATGTTTTTACTGCATATCCTTATTTTGTTTATTTTCGTAATTTCTTACAGATATTGATCTCAAAGTGGCTGCAAAATTCTTTGGCACCAAATTCGCGTGCGGCTCGTCAGTCACTGGCGACGATGAAATCGTCATCCAGGGCGATGTCAAGGACGAGCTGTTTGACGTCATACCCGATAAGTGGTCGGAAATCGACGAGGACGCCATAGAGGACCTTGGCGATCAAAAGCGTTAAGCGCCATAAAGTTTCACTAGCAAGCAGCACATATTTTTGTCTTCTTTTATACGCTACAATAAAATATTAAACGTTAAATTACTTAAATGCTATTTCTTCTGCTGCTCGGTTTGCCCATCTGCCGGTGCTGACGCCGGTTGCTTTTGCTCTGTTTTTTTTTCTTTGGAAGAAGACTGGGTTTGGGTTTGGGATTGCTGTGGCAGCTGCGGCGTTGTTTCCACTCCGTAAAAGTGCTTGTATGTCAGTTGGATGATTTTCTCATTCTCCTCGTCCGTCAACGGAGCTTTGTTGTCATCAATCAGCTGCATTATGCAAATGAAATTTGAGCGCTGCTGGGGCATATATTCATCTCAATACCCGCATCTTACCAATTGCGTGTGCAGCGGACTGGTTGGCGGATCGTTCACCATTTGGAGTACTTCGTGGGACTTCAGGCGATAGCTTGCTAGGTCTTTTACGTAGTTTGTGATGGACTCACGTGTCTGAGTCTTGCAGGGCGACTCTTCCAGATATTGCAAGGCCTGAAAGAAAAATGCCATACGCTCTTCGGTGTCGAAGAATAAGGAATTTACAGTAAGTACTTATACCATACCTCATAGGTTACTGTGGCCAGGTTACGCATTCCAAACTTCTTTTTGGTGCTTTTGATTTTCTGGAGCACCTGCATCACCTCCATGTTCGTTAGGTACGAGTAGGTAGCATTGACACTGAAAGAGTTGAATAATTATATAGTTTATCTGTTTCTTGTATTCAATAACTCACGTTTCCATTGTGATGAAGCTATCGGCTTTCCACACAAAATGTAAACATATTGTAAGTGAACTAGTTCCTATGGAACCAGTTTATTTTCAACGACTTAAAATATCGCGTTTTCAAACACAACCTAGTAGAATATAAATAAAAATAGTGTTTGATAATTGTTGTTCTGTTCGTTGCGCTAAAGAATATTATTTTTTTTTTCGATTTGCAAATTTATTTTCTTGTTCATAGCAAGGGAATAACAATTGACTCAATGTTGGCGCAAAAACCTATATGACATTACGTTGATCTGGCCACACTTGTAAAAAACTGCATCTGTCAAATCGAATCGACCCGACGGTATATTTATTTCATAAATTTATTAATTTTCATTTTCAAAGGTATATTTAAGAACAAAGGGAACAGAAATCCAGTAAAAGCTAGTGTTAAAAATAATTAGCCAGTCAAGTAGAAAATTGATTCATTAGGCGTATACAATTATGTGGGCTGGGCTAGCTGGGCTATATAGCTGGTAATATTCGACGGAATATCAGAAACGAGGAATATGTATAACAGAACTTTAATTCGTTAGTATATTTACGGTATATATATAAAATGAGACGGTATATTTTGGTATATTTCTGATGGTCAGACGGGGAATATTTTATCGATAAATCCAACACTGATTCAAAGCTTTGCGTAAATTAAATTAACAAATTAATAACAAGCCAACAGATATAAATCTATACCATTTAGATTCCGTAGTGAAGTGAAGTCTTCACAATGGCAGCAGACAAGACGCCCCCAATAACCGCAGGATGGAAAAAGGCAAAGCACCGCCTGCCGAAGCGGCGATTAAATGACTTGCACCAGTGCAAGGCTTCCCTCGGCTCGCACCGCCATTGGGGCCACAGCCGTGTGCGTCGATTGATTGCCGATGATAAGTATGATGCGCAGCAGTCTCCACCCAATCATACGTGGATGTTTCAGTCCTGCTGGTGCATCGTGATGCTCGCGCTTGGGGTTTTGATTTGCGGCTTTGGCTGCTACTATGACGGAGAGAATGTGAGCAATTTTATGCTCAACTACAGCAAACAGTACCAGGCCATCATCCACAACAAGCAAAACTATTGTGATCATACTTTGTCGCTAAACGAAATGTTTGGCCATATTCGCCGGCATGTGCTGAACCAAGAAACTGCTCTCGACCAGCTGGAGCAGTCTTTGAGCAAGCCACAGTTTCAGTCAATTTCCCTGCTGGGATCTTCGGGCGTGGGCAAGAGTTTGACGGCTCGTCTGCTCCGGGAGCTGTTCCCCTGGCCGGAAAATGTACACGCTTTGACCAAGAGCGATGTCTCGGACTTGGTCAGAATGAATTCGGTGCTCACCAAATTGGACTTCTGTGGTCGCAATCTCATTCTGGTCGACAACATGAACAGCACGGATCAAGAGATTGTGCAAAGGGTCAACGACCTAGTCAGCAGCTTTGGCGACATCGCCGGAAACAAAAATACTCACAAAGTAAACCTCAAACGCCTGTCCATCGTTTACATTTTCAATATCAATCGCTTTCTTGGCGAAACTTCTGTTGAGCATTTCGCCACCGTGCTGCAGTTGCCCGACAATCAAGTTATTCAATTTGACACGCTCGAGCCGCAGCATTTGGAGAGTTGCATTCGACATGAGGCGGACCTGGAGAATCTGCTTCTGGATCAGAAGTATGTAGAGTCCATGATCAATACCACAGATTTCAAGATGTCTGGATGCAAGACACTCCGCGCAAAGGTCCTAATCTACGGACAACCCAAATCGAATTACCAAAAAGACTGATAAAAACACAAAAAATGTTGAAGTTCCTAAACATAGTGATATTGAGATTCCACGTAAGCATATGTATTCCTAGCACAAAAAATCGACAATCCTGTACAACTTCAGAGTTAAGTGTAATTAAAAATATATGTGTACATAAGAATATAGTCCTAACAATGTTAATTCCATAATAGTGAAGTTAGGTTAGGTTAAGGCGGTAGCCGGGGATGGGGTAGGATGAAACACACACACACACAACCACCACTACCTCCAAACCGGGTAACATAAGAGGCCCATTGTGTTGGATGTATTTGGACAAGGTCCCTGGTTTGATTTGAGACAGGTCCGAAATGTCCGTGAGGAAGGGGGCCCCGAGAAGCCGCAGACGGTTTCCAAGGGCCGGGCAACGGCAGAAAAAGTGGGTTTACTGCCATCTCCTATTTGCACTTTGCTCGAACAATTCGTGCGTGAGAAGCCTGCACGTGAGTGATCGTGGTACCCTCGTCGGCGGCGTCGTTCCCCTCGATGTCCCTGTGACCGGGAACTTATATAAGGAAGAGATCTAACTGCTCTGCGATCTCATGCAGAGACCTCCGGCCGTCATGTACAGTCATTGAATTCGACGATATTGAGCACAAGTTTTTAATAGCTGCTTGGCTGTCCGAGAAGACGCACACTATGTGCGTGTCTAGAAGTAGTTTGAAGACAATAGAAATGGCCTCCTTGATGGCCACAACCTCCGCTGGGAACACACTACAGTGATCCGGGAGCCTGAAGCAATGACTGATGTTTAGCTCGCTACAGAAGACTTCGCCTCCCAAGCGGCCGTCTAACTGTGAGCCAAGAGTGTTGAAGTGGACCGCATTTACAGGATCTGGTTTGCCCACCTCCCAGTCCTCCCTAGGTGGGATTGATACCTGGAAAGGCGTCTAGAGGTGATCACTAAGGATACAATAATCAGTCCTCTCCCGTAACTGCGAGAATCTCGTCAGGATTCCCGAGTGCCCAACCGTAGACGGTTTCCACAGTTTGACTTCTCTCATTCTAAGGGCGGAAAGTGTTGCTACCTTCTTTCCCTTGAGATCTACTGGATGGAGGTCCAGCACGGTATCCAGGGCTTCCCCTGGAGTAGTGAGTAGCCCGCCAGTTATGCATAGCTCTTCCATGCGTTGAAATCCACTGAGTCTGTTGAGACAAGTTCGTATTACTTCATATATTCGATCTTTTAAGGACTTGTCATAATTTTGTAAAATATTGATCGATGAAACTTCCCAGTCTGATTTAATGGCGTCAATTAGGGTCTCAGGGTCCCCAAAAGTTTTCTATATTATTTAGGTCGGGGGAGTACGGCGGCCAGTCTAGCAATTCCCCTTTTTTTTTACTTATCCACTCCACAATAGGAGTGGGGGCATTGTAGTGCAGCAGATAGATGGCAGCAGTATCGATATTATCGATATATTCGGCATTGTGTGCTGGTATATCCATGGTTTCGTTCCAAAAACAATACAAAAATGTGGGCATGCCTTTTGTATGACAGTTTTGTACACATTTGCATTCATTTTCGATGAAAGAAACTGTAGCTCGGTTTTAATATAAAATCAACTTCACCTAGTTTACAGTCTCTAACTGAATTTTTTGAGTTTATGCCAACAATTCGGCTGTCCGACCCAATGTGCTTTGGAATTATCCTCGATCGATAATTCCATTGCTGTACATATTACGAACATCAATTCTTGCTATACCTTTATTTCCATGTTTTAGAAAACATTTAGAGTCTGTTATTCGCAAGGTAACTACTTTTCGTACGTCATCTTTTGCAAAGACTTCGTGTACGTTGGGCTGAGAAGCGTTGACAAGAGTTTTCTTTGGCAAATTTACTTGTTCTTTGCCTGCACAGGCTTTGTTTAGTTTTGACATTATGATTATGAGTTATTTTTTTTTAAATCTCTTATTGTAATTCGTCACAGTACATCTGCCACGAAATTTTCTTTGCTCTTTAGGTACTCTACAGTAAAATTATATTCCTCTAATTCCAATCTCATTCTGATTAGTTTAGAGCTTAGGTTAACCATTGGAAAAAGGTAAGTTAGTGGTCAGTTTCAACTAAAAAACGAGGGGGAACGTTGTGAGTTGCTGCGGACACCGCAACTCTACAGTTATACCCGATACTAAGTCAGTATGGCTTTCCTCCGGCAGACGCCGCTAATATTAAACGACACGACAAAGAGTGCGTGCGAGAGAGACAGAAAATCAGTCTGAGCGTGACGTCGGGCGCTGCGTAGCCAATGCAAATTGATTTGTTCCTTTTGGCTACAAAAATTATCTGATCTGATCCAGATTCAGCAATCTGATAGATATGGTCGTTATCTATGATTCTGCGTTTTTAGTTTTCTCAAATCTGCAATATTGTGGATGCAACAGATTTTCGTCCTTTGTGTGGGCGGAAGGGGGTGGGGCGAAATTTTGAGATATACGTTTTATAGTGAGATCTAACAGGAGTGCGGATACCAAATTTGGTTACTCTAGCCTTAATAGTCTCTGAGATTTATGAATATCCCCAGATCTGCATCCTTTGCGGGGGTGGAAGGGGGTGTGGCGAAATTTTGAAACAAACTCGTCTCGGTCCGATATATTAGGAGTGTGGATACCAAATTTGGTTGCACTAGCTTTTATAGTCTCTGAGATCTAGGCGCTAATGTTTTACTCTAAGCAAAGCCGCCTATGCTACGTGTGTGTTAGAGAGAGACAGGGCGAGAAAAAATGAAATTGTTTTCTTGATGCTGGCTATAATAATAATACGATCCAATTCAGATTCCGCAGTCTAAAAGATATCGTCATTCTCTACGATTCTGCGTTTTTGGTTTTCTCGTATCTTTAAAATTGTGGATGCCACAGATTTTCGCCCTTTGTGGGGGCGGAAGTGGGCGGGGCAAAGTTTTGAAATATTTTTGTAGCAGTGACATATCACAGAAGTCTGGATCCAAAACATCGTTGCTCTAGCTCTTATAGTCTTTGAGCATTAGGCGCTGAAGGGGACGGACAGACGGACAGACGGACGGACGGACAGACGGACAGACGGACAGACAGACATGGCTCAATCGACTCGGCTATTGATGCTGATCAAGAATATATATACTTTATGGGGTCGGAAACGATTCCTTCTGGACGTTACACACATACACTTTTACCACAAATCTAATATACCCCAATACTCATTTTGAGTATCGGGTATAATAAATACATATATGGTTGAACATGTCTAATAGCCCAATGAATAGCTTCTAGTTTTTGCTCAGTTGTACTCGTATTAATTTAAGCTTTCGAAAATGATCGGGATGCGTTTGAACTAGATGCTGGAGTCCGTTTCGTGTTTGAGTGAATGATGCTCAACACGCTTGCTTGCTTGCATCATTATTATTCTTTGCTGAAAGTATAATAATAGAGGATTAATTAGTTTTTAATTAATCTTTAAGATGTTGGAATGCATTTGGCATTAAGCTGGCAATTCGAAGAGAACATTCTTTCTACATAATCGTGTTATGTGCCGTAAATAGTCGGCGTAGTTTTTAATAAATGTTATGCAATAGTTGCAGAATGCAACGAAGCATCTACCGCTGTTCGCATCTGCTGGGACTGGATAGTTTTGGAAGATTCCTTTATCATTGAAATTACGTCCTAAAAATGGCACTTCATGCATGAAAAATTAACATTTTTGGGGTGTTTGAGATTTTATTTCCTAAACGTGGTGGTAGTCTATTAGTAATCTTTATAACTGATACCCAAAAAGAGTATAGGGGTATATTCGATTTGTGCGGAAAATGGATGTGTGTAACACCCAGATGGAAGCGTTTCCGACCCCATAAGGTGTAAATATTCTTGATCAGCATCAATCGCCAAGTCGATAGAGCCATGTCTGTCTGTCTGCCCGTACGTCCGTCCGTCTTGTAGACGGCAGAATCTGAACCATATCGTATCATTATTATAGCTGGAATAAAGAAAATAATTTCATTGTTTCTCGCTCTGTCTTTCTCTAACACATACGTTTCGAGATCTGCTTTGACTTTCGCTAAAAGTTAGCGCATAGATCTCAAAGACAATGAGAGCTAGAGCAACGAAATATTGTATACAGACTCCTGTGATATCACACTGAATCAAGATTGCATTTTATTGAACTTTGCAATTTTCAAAAGCTGATAAGTGAACCTCAATCGGATTCAAATTAAGTATTCAAGCTGTATTTTTTGAGGTTTGGTCAAACGGATGCACCTTAACCGTTTATCCATATTTTTTTTAAAAACGATACCTTAAACGACACCAAATTAATTTACATATACAAGAAAAATATAAAACCTCAAGAATTATTTTTCCGAGTTTTTGAAATCAAAATTTAGAAGAAAACGAGGGGGAACGTTGTGAGTTGCTGCGGACACCGCAACTCTACAGTTATACCCGATACTAAGTCAGTATGGCTCTCCTCCGGCAGATGGCGCTAATATTAAGCGACACGACAAAGAGTGTGTGCGAAAGAGACAGAAAATCAGTCTGAGCGTGACGTCGGGCGCTGCGTAGCCACTGCAAATTGATTTGTTCCTTTTGGCTATAAAAATGATCTGATCTGATCCAGATTCAGCAACCTGATAGATATGGTCATTATCTATGATTCTGCGTTGTTAGTTTTCTCGAATGTGCAATATTGTGGATGCAACAGATTTTCGTCCTTTGTGTGGGCGGAAGGGGGTGGGGCGAAATTTTGAGATATACGTTTTATAGTGAGATCTAACAGGAGTGCGGACACTAAATTTGGTTACTCTAGCCTTAATACTCTCTGAGATTTGTGAATATCCCCAGATTTGCATCCTTTGCGGGGGCGGAAGGGGGTGTGGCGAAATTTTGAAACAAACTCGTCTCGGTCTGATATATTAGGAGTGTGGATACCAAATTTGGTTGCTCTAGCTTTTATAGTCTCTGAGATCTAGGCGCTAATGTTTTACTCTAAGCAAAGCCGCCTATGCTACGTGTGTGTTAGAGAGAGACAGGGCGAGAAAAAATGAAATTGTTTTCTTGATGCTGGCTATAATAATAATACGATCCAATTCAGATTTTGCAGTCTAAAAGATATGGTCATTCTCTACGATTCTGCGTTTTTGGTTTTATCGTATCTTTAAAA